CCATCCTGACCAGCTCCACCTAGAGATTCGGCCCTTGTTCTTGCTCTGAGCACGTCCAATGAAGCTCGAATGAAAAATCAATCCTTGGCACCGGCGGAGTCGGGACAGCCTCACCAACCTGCAACCTGATCTGAATGACTCCAAGGTTCCATACTTTGGCGTATTGCCCTCGCAGCAGGTGATGGGTCGGTTTGACTGGTACCACTCGAATGCTTCATTGTAGCTTCTTGCGAGCCCTTTTTTAGGGATCTCTCTTGAAATTTTACCCTCTGGTAAACAAACATAACTATGGAAAATCACCACTTTAATAGGTAAATCGACTATAAATGAGCCATGTTCAATAGCTATGTTAGTTTACCGGAGCGTGATGTATCCAAGTGTAACATTTCCCAACTGGGATCCCGGTCCCAGCCATGTCCAGCCCCGGCGCCCGCGCTCCTTGGTCTTCAGGGCCCGGAATAAGGCTTTCTCGGCGCCCAAAATCTGCACCGTACTGGCTGGGTACTTTGCCAGGTTTGTCAAGCTGCCTGCCGTCCAAATGGGAAGACGACTTCCCCTGGGGATTGAAGGATTTAAGGGTCGCTAGTTGAGCGGATTGCAAGCGGAATCCAAGGCTAACATTTATATCGAGAATGTAAAGAAATTGCAATTGGGATCAATTGGGATACAGTATAGTCAAAGAAACTTCAGGAGGGTGATATCTCTATAGTCAAAGAAACTTCAGGAGGGTGGTATCTCGATGTTCATCCATCTTTATTCCAGTTTTACAGATGTTGCTGGTCGTGTCTACATTTTTTCCGGCTCACATCCTCATTTCTGGCGGGTTCATCTCCCGAAATGCATTCTTGTTATGCCCCATTTGTTGGCTTACATCCATACCCCGTTGCTCTACAAAAGATTCTGGCGCATTTGTACTCACATGGCCAGCATGTAGGCGTTGAACCGTCAGTTGTGCCCGTGAAATTGCCATATTTGCGGACCAAAAAGGATCAAAATACTCCACCTGACTTTCATCTAGTTTCCCTCAAACATAATCCCCGCCCATACTAAATTTGAATACTCCCAAACGAAAACCTGGCTGAATGAATTGGATCTATTCATGAATTGGGCCCCTGCAATAGTGGCGGTATTCAATATCATTGGGGAAATTTATTACTACTGTAAGATTATTCCATGACTTGGAACAGAACATATGACGAATTTTCGAGATTTATCATCATTTTCCAAAAACCAAAACATCTCAAGTGATACCCCTTTTCTCACACGTTTTCAGCCTCCAATCATCGCATCCCATCCTCCCGGATTTTCCCGGTGCCTGCATGGGAGATCAACCTGGCGCCAATGATCTCGCCGATCAAAGCGGCCAAGTTGGGGGCCACCAAATCCATCTTGGCCTGGTGCTGAAAAGCAGGCAACCCAAGAAGTCAAGGAAAATGCCGGGATGAGAGAAGGAAAACATGGAGGGGTTATGCGGGGTAAATATGTTTAATTAACATGTTTGTTTAACATATTTAACATTGATATCTAAATTATCTAAATTGGATACTGAACTTTGATGGTGACGACTCTTCAGCAACAAAATGAGGGCACAAACTAAACCCACAACATACCAACATCAAATGCTTGAAACATCGCAGCCGCCATGCCCGCCTTCAGGTAGTCATGAAGGGTCTTTCGCCTGGGATACCCGGTAAGGTGATCATCATCGTCTTCTAATTGTGTCACTCTGGCAGTGTTGCTATCCTTATCATATTCACCAGCATCACCAGCATCACCAGCATGGTCGGCATCATCATCATCATCATCATCATCCTCCTCCTCCTCCTCGCCATCGCCATCGCCATCGCCATCGTCATCGTCATCTTCATCATCATCATCATCATCATCATCATCATCTGTCAGGCCTCTTTGACTAGGGGCCACACAACCAAATGGAACATCACGACGTTTGCCATATGGAATTCCATCCTTCTAAGCTTAAGTGGAGGCCAAATGTAATCCTGGTAATACATGCCGCAATCAGGCTATAACTGCAACCCCAGATCAATAGACCCTGCTTGATAAATGGATAAATCAGGGGTCACCCTCTAAATACCGATAAAGTGCTGATAAAATAGTTGCCTCCCGAGTTAAACAGCCTAGGGCTTCTGTAAAATCCGGGGCCGACGTTCGCCCATTCTTTCCCATGAAGTCAACGACTTGAATTGTGCTTCATATCCCATCCCACACGCAGCAAAGTGCAGCGAGGTGGCATATCTGCCAGTTTGATGACTTCACTGGCGAAGTGCTCAATGTTTTTCATGTCCATCTCGACGATATCCTGGCAGCTGTCGAACATTTTGGGGGCAAAATTCATGGCATGGAACCACCAATACGTCGGATATTGGACTTAACCATTTTTGGGGAGTTGCCAACAAGATTGGCGACAAAATGTGGAATTAAAGATCAACAGTCATCCTAAATCTTAGATGAATAGCAACCCAAAAGAGCTTGGAATCCCAGCCTAGTTTTGCAACTAGCTTGCAAATTCCATGGAAGTTGAAGTTCAAGGGGTCCCCCCAAATGTCACCCCCCAAACAAATAAAGACCTCGTTAAGGGTCTGCAAACCACCATCAACCCTTACTAGGAGCTATTCAGCCCCTATTATTCTTAGAGGGTAACCTTTCTTCATCTCTTCCAGGCAGTTGTAAAAATCTAGCAAAATGTATGGGTGTTCTTTGGCATATGACTAGCATATAATAACCATAGTACATAGCGCAACCATATTTCAAACAAGTATATAAATGGATGATAGCCAGGTTGTATGCCGCATATGCCCCAGTTGGATTTTACAATGGCTTCTGAACCACTTCGGATGGGGACGTGTCAAAGCCATGCCTGGCCCATCGACATCTTCAAGGCTTTCCTTGGCTGGGTTGCTGCTGGGAATCTATGAGCTACCCTCAGGTAAATTAACAGTTTGACCCAGAAAATAAGCTATTTTACTGGAAACTAATCTTCCAACCCCTATCTACCAGGGTCTATGTTGATTTATATACTGGAGGATAAAACGTTTAGATTACACTGATTACACCATTCCAGCTAGATATGTGAATCTGCTTATTAAAATGGTCATGCTGACTGGTGAAATAAAGAACGGTGAAAACAGTTTGAAGAGGTCCGCCACATCTATCCATCCCATGTTGTCTCAAGTGACTCAAGTGTCCAATTTGATTAGAAATATGAATGCCCATAGTATCCCATCCCAGATTGCCAAAGGGTGACCCGTCAACACACCTATATAGATTCAGAGTACAAACTACGTTTGCATCCGTGGGAAAAAACCCTTTCAGAAACCCGGTTTATTCTACCATGTATAAGTATATTATATATATACATACATACATCTCCATCTCTCTCTCTCTCGTCGTCACGAAATCAATCATTTTTCTACCTTCCAATCCGTTCATCACAAATGCCTTATCAAAGGATAATTGTTCCATAAATGTTACTTTAAAAAGAACATTGCAACAACAAAAACAACAAAATTTCTTGGAGGCTCCCCACGACTCTGGGTCCTACGCTCTGGTTAACTGTTTGCAATCTGGAAAATCACATTTTTTTCCTTCGGCAAATCATTAATCATCATTTGTCATGTGTTTATATGTTTGATCATCTATAATCAACATTGTTTATATGTTAGTGAGTCACATGGCTATGATTATCATCATTTTCATATATATATATATATATATAAATATAATCATTGAAGAATCATCTATTTACTTAGTGGTGTTTAGTAGGGAATGGATGGGATGGGGGTTGCTGGGATTATTACTGATAGTTATTGTGGATCATTCCCGAAAATTCTCTACATTTAGCACCAGTAAGTAAATAGATGATTAACATCCAGATATTCCATCTAAAAAAAACATAGATTATCTATATATACCATAGATCAATACTAATCCATTTATATCTATTCATCATAGTTTATATCCCATTTAAAAAAAAATCACCATGGTTTGTTGGTTAAATCCCATTAAAACCACCATTTTTCATGCTTAAACCAGAGGGTATTATCCATTATATCACCTATAAATCCCTGTAAATCCCTATAAATCCCCATTATTAGGAGGGTTTAGTCATTACCAGAGGCTAATCCAGTTACCAGTCTCAGGCCATGACTTTCCTGCAGAGCATCAGAATCTCATCGGCCACCTCTTCGGAGCCACAGGCCTCGGTCAAGGCCTCCTTGTCGCCTCCCACGACGTTTTAAGCGGCAATGGTGGCTGCTTGGTGGCTGAAAACCTTGGGAAAAAATAGGGAAAATGCCCAAAAAATTGGGGAAATGGATGAAATGCTCAGTAAAATGAGGATTTTACTGTGATTCTGATGATTTCAATGATTTCTGGCTTCTCCTGGGATTATAGTGGCGTTTTTCAATGGGAAATTCAAACATACTGAGCTCTCAATGGGTTAAGTCTTAAAATTATATGGCCACGAGATACCATGAGCTGGGGATACCCGATGTTCATCCGCGGCAGCCACGGCAGACACAGATTTTCCTCACGTCACAAGCTCCAGAGACATTTGGCGCTGCCACGTCGTGCCATGACCCGGCAGGCGTGCCGCGTTCTGCAAAGGCGCACATTGCCGCCACGCGATCGAAAACTCAAGGCGTCTTCAAAGGTGAGAAGTTCTCAACGCAACTCGTGCTGATGACGAAATCTGGAATTTGAAAAATGGGTACAGGAATAGCTTGGCCAACATGCTGGTCACAACAGAATACGGCATACAACGTCCACAGCACGGGTTGCAAATGTTGAAACTGCCTGGCACGTAGAAGTGTCAGTCTTCCATGGGTATCTACAGTCTTCTGCCCACTCGAAAACATCACAGTACCATGCACCAAGCCTTTAAGAACCGTCTTTAGTTCACCACCTATCCAACACTATCAATTCGAACAAACGAATGAAACCGCATCATTTCAGTTGAGGCTCAAAAGCATCATTTAACCCAAACTCTCAACAGAAACCGCTTTCCATCGTTTTCTGACAAAAAATCCAATCAGACAGGGGCAGCATGGCTCCAATTCTGGCGGTGCCTCAGTCCTTCTTGCACGAGGCCACCAGCCACTCCATGCCTTCCTGCAGGCCCTCGCCCGTCTTGGCGCTACAGGCTTGGATCTGCCAAATGCGATCCTGGATCCCCTCCAAGCCTGCGGAGGGTAGGGAAAAAGTGACAATGGAGAAGCCCCAAATGAAGGGACCATGGAGCTTGGGAAAATGATGGGTTTTGCTGACCATCCCCATGTTTGGGCAATTTTTGCTATCCACAAAGATTTTTTGGAACAAACCGACTCTCGGTTTGGGAAACGTGTCAGGAGATCCAAAGCTTAGTGCCTGCGGTGGTTGCCGCCGATTCCTGGGGAATATATACTACAGTGTTCAGATTGGAACCATGAACCATGTTTATGAGCCACTTGTCACGTGGGATGAATATCCACAAGGCATGGCGCAATTCCACAAACTTCGGAAGAAGCTGAAAAAAAATCCATCGGAAATCAGCCCTGCAGTGCACGAAATCGGCCAAAAGAAAATGGTGTGTCTTGAAACTGTGCTCATGCTGGTAGAGTTATAGTAAAACATCCCCAAACTTACCATAAATGGATGGTATAGACTATAGGCCATCAAAATATTGCTGGTCTATTATCGCTTTACCAATATTCCCCCAAACCCTAAATGGTTTTTCTGGTGAAGAAGTCACTACGAAATCTTGGATGACAGCTTGGGGGTCAAAAAAAAAACATCTCCGTTCAAAATCCTGGCCCCGCCTAAGGCTTCCGAGATCTCAGGTGCCGTACTGGCATGCATCAAGTCTTGCTTGTTAGCGAAGACCTGGGAATGAGGAAAACATCACCAGCCCTGATGACTCCCAGTGCTACACAGGCGGGACTAAAAATGATGAAGACTTGCCGTGCCAAACCATTCTCTCCGGACTGATGTCCTAGTTTCAGTGAACATAGCGCATGTATGTGCCACTATGCATGGCTGTTCTTTGCGGACTGCCGACCAGGTATGGATGGCCGCAAGAATTTTCACTTGCAAATGATGTGAAAATGGTGATATCATTTGCCAAGAAGTGATATCTTCCATCGCCAACTTTCTTTCTGGCCAGGCCCCTGCCACCATGCGACCAGGCATGGGATGCCTCCCAACTTATCTTCTGCCAGCAGCTCGGCCAGCTCCTGCCCCAGAATTGTCCATCGAAGAAGCCATTTTTTGACCATTCATAAGTGGAGTTGTTCCCATATGTTCCTACAATGTTTTTCCATCAAAACCTCCACTTATAGACGACTTTCCCATGATTAATTATATATAGATTTGCCATTGCCGGGTTGGATTAACAGCGGGTACACTTTGTTTGACTAGCCTCCAATGGCGAGGAACTTGCACTTGATGGGGATACTAAGCGACGCATGTTCATAAAAAGTAGGGGCCCATTGTTGAAGTTGGAAGCCATATTTCATCATATTTCCTCCAGTCAAGTCAGGTAAACCAACAAAAACAAACAAGATCTCCCATCATTCGCGGCGCGGCCACTTTCCAGACTTTCCAGCAGTCCTTGCCACTTTCTTCCAACCTCCGGCGGTCCGAGCTGTCGATGACATAGACCAAGGCATCCGTGTTCTCGAAGTAGTTGCTCCAGTAGGGTCGGATCTCCCTGGGAAAATCACCATGTGACCAGGTCATCCATCATCCAAACTGTGTATAGGGGCCATGGCTTCCCATAGCTATGTTAGTCATTACCAGGGGCGAATTTTGCGGCTAGGAGCTATGGCAGCTATGGGGGATCTATGGTCACTGGATCCCATGGCCTCTGGCCGCCAATGTCCCACACATTCCTGAGGGGAGCCGATGCCGAAGCTCTCAAGGTGCCCAAAATCTGGAGAGTTTGGGGGAAAAAAAAGGACCTGGGAAGTTTTCCAGGTAATGTTGTGCATGATACCTATTTATATACATTGCATTTTTTTAGATGTCTAACCTTTCAAACAATGTGGAGGGTTGCAAGTTCCAAACCAGATTTATGAGGCCATGTTTGTGACGATTTCCCCCAAAGAACATCTACTAACTGTCGCCTGAGGATATCAGCGTGCTTGACGAAGTTGCAGTTCAAAAACCAAACAATGTCCCTCAAGCACCATTGTCAGATGATATTTTGCCGGTCGCTGCTGCAAAAGGATCTTCAGAAATGTAACCCTCCCACCACCCTGAAACGTCCACCCCAGTCTGGTCAAGTTTCAGCTTGAAGTTGTCCTGGACCAAACTCTTGATATTGAAGCCTGGAAGGCAACATCATAGCTCCGAAACTAATTAAGTCGACAAAGTAAACAAAAAAAAATCAGATGTGGATCTGAAACATCCACAGGCGCCTTGTGTGGGCATGATGTGGGTGATATCTTCATCGGACATCTTCTTCAAAATGGTGGTCTTGCCCGCGTTGTCCAAGCCCAATACCAGGATCCGGGCCTCTCGCTCCTCCTGATGGGGGTGAGGAAGTTGATACGTGAAATGCCCAGTGGGCTCATATAATTCCAATCTTTTCAAACGGTTGGAGCTTTGTGTAGGAAATCATCCTCCTACACTTTGGAGCCCTAGTCCGCCTTCTTCATCTTCTTCAAAATGCTTAGGAGCCCCATGTTGAATTTCCACTGCGCACGGCACCCTGCTGGTTGCTTTCTGAGCCAGAAATGCAAACTGCGGAGCAAGGCATAGTGCCACAAAAAAAAATGGAAGGTGATGTGGCCTTGAAACAAGCAACAACCTCAACAACCAACCATTTTCACTTGTTTGAGCATGGCCAATCTTGGGATACGGAACCCACCAAAAAAATGGTATGATATGGCTAGCTAGACAATAATATATAAATACTTGAGATTCTTGCATGAAACTGGCTAGAAATAAGAACTATCAAACCAACCAGGGTTGCTTCCAGTCAGGGGTTGTTCTGCCAAGAGTTCCTAATCACCAAAAAAAACCGCCAGTGGCCTGCATAGCTATCTCGGACCTCAGCCATGGTAGAGCTTTAACGAACACGTCGCCCGTAGAAGCTGTAGACCTAAAAAAAATGGGAGCACAAAACCCAAAAACTAAACCAACAGAAATAGGAATCCGACCAAAAGAAAACCTCCCAGTGCCAAGACATCCATGGTTCTCTTGTGCTTCACCCCTGTAAATGAACAAAGGGACCGCAAGTCAAGTTATCTTCACCTTGGCCCAAGCCATCCAAGCCCAAGCCTTTAACCCCACGGATTCCCCCCCTAGCTGTTGCAGCCACCGCGTTCATCCAGGGCACACGAATAACCTTGGAAACCTTGGCATAGGCGATGTTGTCTGTGACGATCCGCGTGAGCTCTGGAAAGTGCCAGGCGTACCACTCCTGAGGCTTAGAGGGAGATCGAACAATTTTTCTGGGGCCTAAAGACTCTGGGTTTTTTGGAGGTTCCAAAAGCAAAGTTACCTTTCTTGGGGGAAATCCGTATTTCTTGGAAAAGACATGCTTTTGTCCAAGGAATGATCCAACATGCTACCAAAAGTGGATTCAACCAAGTTGGCTGAAACCAGTGAGAAATACATTCGAATACATTAGATACATTCAAACACCAGGATTGAAAGTCTAATGATGAATGAACATCCAACATGCATCTGAATCTGTATTGGCCACGTGGTAAACCCAACCATGCCACACCAAGCTGAAATTCTGCTGCCAGGTGTCACGAACACGCATGGCGAAGGTGTTGATGTTCCTTGCCGCCACGTGGCCGTGGCGGCCGGCGCTGGAGTTGGGGTGTCAGTCGAGTGCCATTGGCCAACTGCCAGCATGTTGATGTTGTTTTTTTCTTTTTTGATGGGGATATACCCTCCGGTAAACTAACATAGCTATTGAAAATGGCCATTTCTAGTGGATTTACCCATTGAAAATGGTGATTTTCCATAGCTATGTTAGTTTACCAGAGGGTAATTGGAATATATTGGGGAAACCCGCCATGGTGAGGTTTCAACGGATTGGTTTTGTTGGCAAAATCTAAAAAAACGGAAGTTCCTGCAGCCTTGCCCTTCAACGAATTCGGGAAGTTCCGAAAGTTGCAGGGGTTGTCTATCATCATTTCACTCATTTTCACTCCAGCTATATATATATATATATTATATATAGCTGGGGGTCAATCGTCATGCATCATGACCCGATTCGTAGATGGAATATCCCGGGTCGTTGATTCGTAGATCGGGTCATCAATCAGTTTCTGATATGGATAGCGCTCCTCCAACTGGCCCGGCTGATATGAGTCGGGCAGAGGTTTTGGACTCCTAAATTGCAAAGCATAGCTCCTTAGCTCCCCATTTTATATGGAATACCCTTAGCTCCGAATTGCTCCCAAGCACTGGATACCTATGAAGTTTGTCAAATGTCACCACAAAGTGAAGCTTGGACATCTTTCCGGTGCCGCTTTCTAACATCCCATTGGCTGCAAAAATGTGTCCCCAGAACTGTGTCTTCAGAAGCTTTACAACCCAAAAAGAAGTCTCAAAAGGGATGTCAAAACCATGTAATCCGATGTAATCCAATGTTTCATCCCATCCCCCGAATTTAACACCAAGCGGCTTGTCCAAGTTGTCCAGCAAGGCAATGGTGTTCATAATGGGTTTGTCCTAAAAAAAAACAACGGAAAAGTGTGTGCGAAAAATAATGAGTCTAAGATAGTCAACTTGGTAACCTTTTCTGCCTTTTTGGTGGTTACTAAAGGTGTACTATAACTTTGGGCTTCAAGGGCTGATCAAAAATGGTAACCCTCGGAATTGCATTTCTGAAGCTTTTTGACTTCACAAAAGCTGAAAATCAAAAAAAAAATGTGGTGATACACTTTGTTGGCCAGTTCTTGGGGTCCACCAAAAAAATTCATGGGCTCAGCAGACCCTGGCTCCTAGACCCCTGGCTGCCCTGGCTCCTGACGATTGGGATCCAGCTGCATCCGATGCCGGCTGAAAGCGTGGCCAAGGCCAAGACGTGCCTTATCCAGGTCGTTCTCACTCAAGTCCTGACGTCGCTTCACCGAAGATGGATGGATCCACCGAAGATGTCCTAGGTATTCCTAGGGATTCCTAGGGATTCCTAGGGATTCCTAGGGAATCATGGGCTTTCCATGGATTGTCCATGTCTATAATCTTGTAGTTTACTGGAGCTGGTAAATGCATCTGGCCCAAAAAACACCAAAATTCATCGAAGTGGCTATAAGCATCTATAATCCATCCAGTGGCTGTGAAGTACAAATGGACCGGCTACCACCAACCACCAAAGCGGGTGGACTAAACAGGAGCCACGACACATCTCAAAACATGATATCCCCATGGCCCAGAATTAGGTTCTGTTGACCTAGCCTCATAAGCAATTAGGTTTGTCTGCGCTGCAATCTGAGAATGGGGCACATCAAAATCCCACGGCTTATATTATCACTTTACCATGTTTCCTCTCAAATTAGAGTCATTTTGGGCGCGCACAATTTTGAAACAAACCCGATTGCTGGTCATCATGTTCCGTGCTTCTAACACCTTGGACTGCCCAAAATGTGTCCTTCACCAAACGGTTGAAGTGCATGCGGCACCCGCGGAGCAGCTCCTGACATCTTACATCGCAAGACCGTCAAGACCTATGGAAATCCCCTTCTGTGCACCCCAAAATAGCTGGGATGTATGGATGTTCAACCCCCAAAATTTATGGAGAATGATTGGGCGTTGCCAAGTTTATGAAGAATCATAGTGTTGTGACCTGTCGAAGCCAGGTTCGCCAGCCTTCACAGATTGGCCGTGAGTGATGGGGAACTGCTCCGCCAAGGCCTGGAGGTTCTGGCAAAGTTCCATGGATGTTTTTTGGCACACCTCAAAAAAAGGAAACTGAGGGAAGGTTTGAAGAGTCCCGTTCCCAAAAAACTTCACATTGCAGGTTTCCTCAACTTTGTGGAACCTCAGCTCCAAGTGCGGCGCAGGTCACCAGGCCTTCCCGAGCTCGGGGTCGTAGACGCCCAGCCTCAGCTCAGGCGCCCTCGAAAGCTCCAAAGCTCCAGCTTTGGCCGCCATTGAGTTCGATGATTTTCCAGCTACGTTTTGATTACCAGAGGGTAGCTCCATAAAAAGGTACAGACCCTCCGGACTACCCCAATGTCCCAATGTTACCCCACTATTGTCCTTATGAAAAACCACATGTTTAAAAAAAATACGCCCCAGTTTTCGCAGAGAAAAATCCCTCCACTTTTCGCAGCTCGGGTCGTCGTTGCAGCACGGCCACTGGTAGCTCTTCTTTTTCTTCGGCAAGTTCATCTCCAGAAAGTTCACCTCGATGAATTTCTACAGAGTTACTGCAGGCTGCATTCCAATTAGCAAACATCAACCCACCAAAAAATTGGACACTATACATATATATCATATAATGTATCTATTTTTTACTTATTAATTTATTTGTTTATTTATTAGCAAAATTAATGAATATGAATCTATGCTTATATAATATGTATATTACTGGTAATACCGATATTATATCCATATAAGTCCATATAATATATATAAATAACATACACACATGACACATGTATCCGGTATACCGGTTCCCATGGGTCTCCCCAACCGAGCCACCAGTTCCTCCGTGGGCGTGCCACCGGCCACGTCGTTGGTTTGGTTCAAGGCGTCCTCCGCATCCCGGAACCTGGGAAGTGGGATGGAAGCGTGGTACCATCCCATAGAAAATCTATAAAAAATGCTGAAAAACTACATGTCTATCCTTTCTTGGGGGGGGTTATATCATATTATATCCAAATATATAAAATCACTAGACTCACTAGAATTGCAAAAAAATGAAGCTGTTCTATCTTTTTGCCGGTTACTATACGCCAAGTAGGGTCATGTCCAGTTTCCAATGGGCTCATAAACCCTTTTCTAAATTGCAGGGGCCCATCATTGTTGCGGAGCCTTTCAGCATGAGACCCTCTGACTGAAGACACCTCCACGAAAATGTGACTGCATGAGACCCTCTGCTAATCGGCTGACATCGCTTTATCTTTGCATAACGTCCTGGTGGCCATTTTAAGTGCCGATGTGACCAGCTCGGAGGGGAACATGACAGAACTCAGAACCAATTTCCACCTGGCAGCGGCAACACTGAACTGCAACCTGGCAGCGGCGTCCAGGCGTGCAACTGCATGATCTTACCGAACTTTTTGGCATCGAGGATGGCATTTTGCACCTGCCGGCGCCCCAAAACCTGCCTGCTTCTGCTTGTTGCTCATTGGAAAGATGTAACAAACTTAGGCCTGGAGAAGTCCCAGCCATACAAGTGTTCAAAAAAAAAGGATACTCCAAGGATACCACTGCAGACCCCCACCTCCTCTTCCGTTTCTGCGGTCTCTTCAAATTCTTTTTTCAAGAACAGGGCAAAGCCTGGGCCAGGACGACGGTCATTAGGGTCCCTGTTGGGTCTGAGAAGACAGTGGATATCTTACCATGTTTGTTTTTTTTTGTGTCATCTGTTGGGATAATCACAGCTGCCTGTTGAGGTTTTTACCCATGCTTTACCATGACAGGATGACCCAGCCAGCTGATTTTTTTCAGCGCCTGCCGCACTCTCGTAAAGCAAGTATGTGGTCATGGCCCGTTCGACCTGCACCACCGCACCACCAGTTTTGCGTGTTAATTTTGAGCCATATCTGGCCATATTATGTGGGAGCCCAAGACATGAAGAGATTCACTAAAGCGGGGTTGCTGGGGTGTTGTATGCGAGTGGTTGGGGGGAATCAGTGCTTTATGCGTCAACTCACCCCGACTGACCGGCAAATCAGCAAAGGTGAATCTCATGTTGCTTAAAATCTACGAGAAAGCGACAGCTGTCTCGGATCCAACGTGCAAGATTTCAAGGGATGAAAAAGATCTCTTCCCCTGATATTGAATACTCCCAGAAAACACTGGGTTTGTCTGAAAAATTATTGGCACCCAAAAAAAATATAGAAAATAATGTTTGATCAGATTTCCCATGCTTTCCCATGTTTTCCCATTCAAATTGCCATGATTATTGACACTCCCAGTTTTTAGACAGCTGCACCTGGGTCCGCCGCTTCGCTGGCTTGGGCGACCCCAGGTGTACTGCTGAGCCACATGGCTGCGGAATTTCAGGTTTCAAGGGGGCTAGCTGAGTCTAGCTATCAATTTCATGCAGGGAAGGGATTCTGATTGAGGAAAAAGGATGGAAAACCGCTTGTTTGAAAAACCATCCCACTTCTTGGATCTTCCTGGAAGTCGTTCAGACCTTGGACCTGAAACGAAGTCAAGCGAGTCAAGCGCCGATCCAAAGAGCTGAAGTCCTACTGATGCAGTTTGGATGTCATACATCCCAAGGAGTTACCCTTTGGTAAACTAACATAGCTATTGAAAATGGCCCATTTATAGATGGTTTACCTATTAAACATGGGGATTTTCCATGGCTATGTTAGTCATAACCAGAGGGTATGCACAGGTTTCATTGTCGCTTCAGGGGACGAAGGCGGAAACACTGTCGCTTCTGGGGGCCCCCAACGAACGGAGGTCACCTTTTTACTTGCCTTCACCTGTTTGAGACCGAAACCAATAGTGCCATAGAGATTACAACAAGAAAACATCCGCCATTGTTGTATCAAATGCTTCATCTATGGAGCATCCCACTGAGTCGCTAGAATGGGAGGCAGCTCCATCGAAACGGATGACAGGGTCGGTGCCCCAACCGAAGAATGCTAGAAGTTGGAGCTTTCCTCCAGAAGAAAAGGCCGAAACCGAATGAAATCAACTATCCAACCTTCCAATGTTGATTTGCCACCTGTTGCCACCTGTTCACGTCAAAGATCTTGATCTTTGGTTGGGGCGTGCACCACTTTCCAGCCCTCGCACACCTTGGCACCTTCATCTGATGAACTGCCGCCTCAGATCCAAGATTTCGAGGGTTTAAGGTGGGAAACGGAACCAAAGGGCCCAAAAAAGTATCTAAAAGAAAACTAGCGTTGGTAAAGCAATAGGATCCACCATCCCCCAAATTTACCATAAATGGGTGGTATAAACTATCAGAATATAGGTGGTTTATTCTTGCTTTACGTACATTGACCGGAAACTTGGGAAGATCTTTATCTTTAGCCCTGACTTAAGTGACTAACCAAGCGGCCTAAGTCATCCTGGGCCGCGGCGCACAGGGGCTTCTTCCTTGGCCACACCACTTTTGGAGCAATTTTGGGCACCAAAAAATTGGGCAATGGTGATGTAACAAGCCAATCTTGGGGAGTTCATGAGGAATTACCCACCATTTTTTGTCGGAAACTGCTGGCAGTCCATAAGATCTGCAATACCAGGTGTCTAAGCGTGGCAAGCACTTGCCGCTTGCCTTTTTTTAGTAGGTGGATCTGTTCCTTTCGGGGTCTAAGGAAAACTCTATTGAACAAGCAGCAGGTAACCGATTATAAATGGCTCCTACCAAACACCAGCTCCGCAGTCTTTTGCCCAGAATGAGGGCGAAATTTGGTGGTGAGGGACATCACGGGATGATTTGGTGGTGAGGGCGTTGCAAGTCACCCAGAATTATACAACCATTAGTGTTTGTTTATCATGCCCCTTTCTGGATAAGCAATGGTCCCCCCATCATGTTGCGGATACCTATTGGATCATACCAAGTATAGTGGACATTTGTTAGTTGTCCTTTTATCTCATCACGTTGGACCGTTGGACGGCCAAAGGGGGCGCAATACCATGCGCTATATACCAATTCTACGAGTGGATAAAAATGGGGCTACGATCATACATCACTTTGCAGCCATTGCCCATCATATTTCTTCATCAAGCCATTGTGTGATACCAAAAACTCTTATGTGAGTCCGTTGGTGCCATAGCTATTACACCATAGCCACCACAACTGCTCAAAAAAAGTGGTAAACCCAATAAAGTTTGCAGGGTAACACTGGTAACACCCATTTCTGGCGAAATTGGGGATTGTTTATGATTGGGTGTACCACCTTACACCACCTAACAGCTTTTTCCAGGACGTTTCTCGTTCAATTGCGTTTGCCCTAGAATTTCCAGTTGTCCAGCTGTTCTATGCGGGGGTGCACACCATTTGTTGATAACCCGGCACGCCTCATCGCCAGCCTGATAGCAATTTGTTCAAGCGCCAGGGGGTGCATCAGTTAATGGCCATCAAACAGGGCGGAAAAGTAATCTAATGGGATTTTGGGCGATCCAGTTTGAGGCACATTGAAAGATATTGAGATGGTTCAGAATCAGGCACACCCCAAATTTCATGGTTGATCCTTATTTTTTCGTTAACATCTTGTGATTTCCCCCTGTTTTCAGACACAAATCCCATGCGAATCGCAGGTGCTGGGTGAAATCCCTCCCTGGCCGCTTGAAAGCCATGGCCTGCCCCGGCCCGTGTTTTCGCAAGCCGCGGCGGCGGGGAGCCATGACTGTGGACAAAAAGATAATCCTCCGGATTATTTAAAGAGGATTTCCCCATTAAAACGTCCATGTATGAAATTGGCTTTACCATATATGGTGTACCTCATTCTAGTACAATGTGGGCATTGAAAAAGAGGATTGTCCCATTAAATCTTCTAATGTGGGTAAAAGAATTTCATAAACCATCCCACAGTCATCACCATAAATAGGTGGTGTATGTTTACCATTCCCAAATGGGTGGTAAACATGGCATTGTTTTACCACATTAGAAGATTTCCCCATGAAAACTTAAAAAACCTCCGTGTGTAGAGGATTGTCCCATTAAGACTTTCATTCATAGGATGATCTTCCCAAAATCTGCATTTAGTGGGGGGATGTTCCAGCCAGCCCCGTTTGATGACATCAGAAGGTCATCAAAATTATTCTTTAAAAAAAAACATACCCTCTGGTAAACTAACATAGCCATGGAAAATCACCATTTTTAATGGGAAAACTCACTATAAATGGGCCATTTTCAATAGCTATGTTAAATTACCAGAGGGTAAAATAAGAATTTTGGGGTCATGGACATGTCCCAACTTTGGTGATCAAAGATGAATCATGGGATGAATCATTGCATGATCTGACCAACAGAAAAGGGAATTGAACTGATTGGACCAATCCGAAGACGGGATTCGACCTACTGGAAAAGGTTATTTAGCCAACAAATGACAGAGATGAGATGATTTGAGCGAATGATTTGAGTTGTCCTTCATTTATCCCATGAGTTACCATTTAGATCCATTTAGGTGGTGTAAAAAGATCCATATACTTTCCAATCTATTGAATCTATTGACACAAATATGGAAACCATATCGAAACTCAGCATTTATGGATCCTCTTCCTTGGAAGCCATTGGTTTTCCATATCTATGCTATTTTTCCCCAGGTGTGTTTTTCCTGTCAATGGATTTGCAATATCAACATATGATCCACGGCCAAAAAAAATGTTCTCCAGAAATGGCAAATTTGCCCTTCAAAATGGGATATAGAGGGAGCAACATGAGATGGTGTTGCCTCCAAATGTAGGATACCCCAAAATTGCCATTTTAATGGGACAACCATGTTGTATTAGCCTTTCGGGGTTTGGGGTACCCATCCTTCTCGGACATCCCACATCAACAGCAAAAAACAAATAGCCCCAGCTTCTTTTGCCAACGCGAAATGCAAAATGCTCTGGGCATTTTGCCTTGCAAAACGTCGCTCTGTGAAACGTTACGAATTGAAACTGTGCTGCTCTGCGATGTCCTTTAGTCAGTGGGATCATCTCAAAAAGAAAAGGTCAAGCCAACCAATCCAAATAGTGGAAATCCTTCATGCCCCCGGTGGATCCGGGAAGTACAAAGGTGCTGAATGTCAACATCTGAAGATGGAATCTCTAGTGGTTGCATCATGCATCCCTTGTTTGATCCACTCCCTTGCCGCGCCCCGATGCTGCCTTCGGCAGAGTGTGGGCATTGGCCGAGAACGGCTGGACATCCAGCAGCAAACTACTAATTTGGGCGAATTTTGAAATGGTGAGACACCAATTTCCCAAATCATACCATTTTGGAACATTTCGAACAGTGAAACTAATGGTTTTTGTGAGGCCACGACCATTTCAAGAAAACCCCTTGAGCTCAGTGGTTGCTGGCTCCTAGGAGCCCACCCCCAAGTTCACCCTGCAACCTTTTTGGGGGTCACATTAGCTGCTGATAGATTTGCATCTCTATATATATATATGTGTGTGTGTGTATGTATATTATACCAATATCTCTATCTATATCTCTATCTATCTATCTGTCTGTCTGTCTGTCTGTCTAACTATCTATCTATCGATCTATCGATCTATCAATCTATCGATCTATCGATCTATCGATCTATCTATCTATCGATCTATCGATCTATCTATCTATCTATCTATCTATCTATCTATCTATCTATCTACATAAGCAACGCGCCTGTCATTTTCCACTGCAACATTGAGAGATCCATCGCCAGCAGGACCGGTTTGGTCCAAAAGCTGGCACTTTCACCCAATCTTTCCACCACCCTCTCCAAGCTCCTCATCGTCTTTGGTCTGGAAGAGGTTCCACCATGTAGTGGGTGGGATTGCAGAGTTCAGGAAGGCCACGGACTGTCCCAAGATTTTGGTGAAATTCCCAGCCAGCTGATTCACCCTAATCTTGGTCTGCCTATCCAGTGTTTCTGCAAAGGTGGTGTAGAGGATTTCCTGAAGGTATATTTCCATAACCTTGTTTGTGACCCAACGTCCTCTACGCCGCACTTTTTCTGAGTCTTCCGATTCCAGCAGCATATGTGTAGCGCCCCCAGGGCGAAGGCTCCCTAGGCTGAAGGGATATCGCCCTTTGATCTTTTCTGTCGCCAGCCCCACTCCTGCTAAAAGGCAGCAAAAGCGCTTCCTCAGAGTAGCTGCTGAATAGGGCCAGAGTCTTGTTGATGATGGGCACTTTCCATATACTGCTGAAAGTAGGCTCAGCACATCCGGTGGGTCGATGCGCGCTGCTTGATGGCGTGCTGCACGCCCACGTGTTTTCGGTGTCCGGATTCTGAGAAGGCCAAAGAGCACACCTGGCATCGAGTCTTCAGGGAGTATCAGGTCACCTCGCTCAGCAATCAGGACTTCCCCAATGCGAAGAAGCCCACACCAGGTCAAACTAATCACTGATGCCTCGAGTGGCCACCCCCAAAGCAAAGCCAAGGCCACAATTGCTAGGAGGATTGATAGAGGCAAAGCAGGATGATGTTCACCTGGTTCATCTGACTGCCAGGCAAAGGCCAGGTCCCAAGCTCCAACCAACTGCTTCCTGATGACCGGTCTGGCCTGTGCCACAGCGTTAATTGTCTCAGCAAACTTCCCATACGCTTTCCCAGATAGAAACATATCCTGGCCATAAGCGGTGAGCCACTTGCAGATCTCCTCAGGGTCAGGCGGCTTTGCTGAAAGCAGCTGAGACAAAGAAACCTTGTGCACCTCAAACAGCCAGCACCGAAAATCTGAAAGCAGCTTTGCTCTCCGGTTCAGCGTGTCTTGTCTGGCAACACGCGTGGCAACCAGTTCAATTCCCTTCCGTCTTTCAGCACGACTCCTCTCAAGCGAAGTCAAAGGCTCCATGGCGTCAGCTAGGCTAAGTCCAAAAATCAAAATCCACAACAGCCTATAGGGGGCTCTTTGTACAGGACAAGACGTGACAACCCAGCCCACGACCATGCATGAGACACTGAGAGCCAGGACAAGAGGGAAAATTCCATAGAGAAAAGTCCAAACAAAAGTCCATGACATCGAGAGGAGGTGCCCATAGAGTCGGTCAAAATCCAGGGTGACTGACAGATGAGATTCAGGGAAAGTCCAAAATGAAAATCCATCACTGTGCTGAGCCTGAACAGGGGATTGCAGGAGAAGAAGCAGGAGGCAAAGGCGGAGCCAGTTTGAAGCCCAACGAGAGAGCTGGCATGAGTGGAGAAGCTGGATCTGCTGCTGGCTAAGACCCTCCCGGACAGAGAGAGGAACAGGACTTCTGACTGGTACCCATCGGGTCGGGTCATCAGCTATGTTGAGCCGAGTTGGAGCAAAATTCCATCCAGGGTAAAGTCCAAAAGCTACCTGAATGGCCGAGCTCCTCTTACAGGTTCTTTGAAGTCCATCAGCAGAGCTCCTGCCCTTTGCCAAAGCCCCTTTCGCCACTCGGGAGTCCATGAGGGCTACAAACCGGCTATCTGGCTGATCTGAGGCAGCTGTTGCTAAAACACCAAGACCTCCATGAGCTTCCAACACATTGATATGGCTCTTGCGCTTCCAGTGCCGGCACTTTCGGGTTCTCCATTTCTCCGTCAGCAAAACATCATTTGCAACAACGCTCTCAAGGCCAAAAACATCTGGGCCCCTCTCCTCAAAAGCACAACCCAACCTCAAAACCCGGCTGAACTCCTTTGCTAGGTGCTCTGCAAGAGGCCAGGTGTAGACTGCTGATCCTTTGGTGAGCTGGCCCTGGATCTTCACATGAGAGTGGCCCCCAGGGCATTTGACTTCAAGGCGGAGGGGGTCAAGGCCATGCAAAAGAAAAATGAACTCTTTCTTGTGAGGAGAGGCAAACTGGCAGGATGCGATGACTGCTTCGCAAAAGCCCAGTCTCTTCAGGGCTCTCCAGGCTCTCATCCACGCCATCTTGCTCCGTCTTGGCTGCTCCTTCCCGCATGGCCTACCAAACTTCCTTCCATGACGCAAGAGCACAAAGGATCTGAAAGCGAGGACATTTCCTAGCCTGGTCTTGGGGCATCGCCTGTCAAAACCTTCTGGTTCAACGTAAGACCGCACTGCTGGATGTGCGGCTGGTGAGAATGTTGTGCATGGAGGCTCTGTAAGGAAAGCTTTGAATCTTCCCTCCTCAATCATGTACAGGCACCATTCCAAAAGCCTTTCATCAGTCATGTCATAGTGCTTTGAGGCAGTGAGGTCGAGGCAGGGAGCTACTGAGTGACCCAGGGCTGCAACACATGAAGAAACGCGGCCAGAACCACCAAAGAACTCCACAAAGTCAAAGTACAGCAAAGGACCTTTCTTGGGAGCCTTGAGGAGATCAGGCCCACAGGGCTCCGCAACTTCTTCACCCGCAGCAGCAAGAAGCGCCGTAGCTGGCGCATCCAACTTGGAATAGCATCCTTTCTTGTCACTCCCAAGCCACAGCACTTCAACAGTCTCAGGGTCAACCTTTGCCGAAACAACCGCCCCAAGGCCCAAAGAGGCATCGGAAGCGTAGACCATCTCATTGTACTTCACTGCTATGTTTGAAACTGCAACTGGCGACAAAGCTGACAACAGGACAAGCTCCTGGGCAACCTTCCTAGTGAGGCACTGCCGTGTTTGGTCCGCTGGCTTCAGCCTCAGCTCCAAGCTTGAAGAAAAAGTCCACACTTGAGGCAAGGCACCTCCGGTAAAGCAAAACTGATGTCCAGCTGCCCGCAAGTCTGGCCAGGAGCTTTGAGGATGCAAACTTCAGTCTCGCCGCACGCAGGGACAAAGCAGCCAATGCCAGCCGCTTCTCAACAGGGGCCCCAACCAAGGTCAAGCCTCTTTGAACTGCTGAGGCCGATGAAATGATCTCCGCACCAGCTGCCTTGAAAACATTCTGGGCATCGATGTCCTTCTCAACTGAACCTTCCAAGCCTGCAGCCTCATAGATGCAACGAGCTTTCGCCAGAGCCTTTGACGCAAAGGTGTTCAGAGGGCTCGTGGTGATGGGCTCGCATCCTATCGCAAAGTAGTCATCAATGATCAGGCCCTCAATCTGGCGCTGCAAAGGAAACAGGGCATGACCAAAAAGCCTCCTACTGCTCTCAAGCAAACCTCCTCTCTGCAAAACTTCTTCATGTGCCTTCAACGCAAACTCAACTCCCAAGTGATCTCCCTGAAAAAGTGAGCCAAAGCAGGGAAACCATTTCCCCTCAACTGCAAGGTCTTCCGCGCCTTCAGCCAAAAGTCCAAAACCATCTCCAACGCTCTCACGTTGCTTCTTGGTGGGCTGCTTCAATCGCGCCTCCTCAAGGGCTCTTGTGCCATCAAGCTCCTCCTCTGAAAAGGCAAAGGCAAGCATATTTGACTGAGCGCGCTCCTCACTGATCTTTGCCTGGTGGTAGAAATCCCGTCGGTCAGTGACGGATCCGACAACTTGCTCAACAAAAGGCTCAACCCTCAAGTTGGTCAGGAGAAAGCCAGGGGGTAGATGGTGTGAAGGCCCATCAATCGCACGCTCCCTGGAGTTTGGAATCCTTCTGTCACCTATCTGCCGGTCTAGGTGGCGGTTCTTGTATGCATTGAAGGTCTTGCAGAAGTGGTCACGCATCAGGGGCTTCCTGTGAAGTCTCAAAATCCCCTTGCTATCCCAAAGCTTCGCCAACTTGAGATTCTCACTGCGCTCCTCTTGTCTGAAAACTGGCCAAACTGAGACATCATCTGGCTCACCATGCAACAGAAAACGCGGCTCTTGAAATGGCAACCAAAGCGGGCCCGACAAGAAGTCTGCCATAGGCCATTCTCCAGTTCCAACAATCTTCAGGCGTGAGGCATCAAGTGACCTGTAAGGGAGGAGCTCAGGGTGGTCTGCAAAGGGAAGGAGGTGCTTGTCCTCCTTAAACTTCACTGGTTTTCGCTGAACATAGCTTTGGCTCAGCTCTGGATGGAGATCAGCAAACCTCTCCATCTGCAAAAGTGCTGCACCTAATTCAGGCCCGGATCGGCCAGGGACGGCAATGAACTGCTGTTCAACCTCCCCACACACAGCTATGAGAGACCGCAGGCGTTCAAACACCTTCATCTGCTCGGCATTCGGTCTCCTCTCAAGCTCAGATCTTGTAGGAAAACGCCCAAGGTACATGTAGTTGAGGGAGAAGACAACTATGTGCAAAAGTTTCTTCCTTGCCCAGGCTGACCTTGAAATCTTCTTGTGCTTGAGGCCCTTCTCAGAAAAACATCCAGGATGAGGAACTGGCAAGGGGAAAGCTGTGGTTGACGCGTCACAAGGATCGCGCCATGTTGCAGTGAAAGATCTCCAGAGGTGCCATGAAAAAGCTGTGCGACACCTCAATATCCACCGTGGCAAACAAATGGCCCATGTGGAGAAATCAAGCATTGTAGAAAGAGGATTTGACTCCGGCTCCTCCTTCTCAAGTTGAATTCCATCTTCATGCAAGCGTGTCCAGCGCTCATTCAGCCTTCCACTTCCTCGGCGGCAGGCAGTGCTCCTTTTCCACGGCCCTTTTTCTTTGGCTGCTGTTTCGCTTTTGCCTTTGGGGCCGCTGCACCTTCGGACGAAGCTTCGAAACCCACCCTTCCAGCTGCGTTCATCTCGTTGCGCTTGTTGGAGATGACCTCCATTTCTTTGAGAAAAGCTAGGGCACATGTGACCCAGCGTTGATCCGCTAAGGGTGCGAAAGAGCGCGCCCTCGAGGTCGATGATAACTGGCGATTCACAAAGATGCTGGCCGGAGGGTCCTCCTGCAAACAAAGGAGGGTCGCCAATTCCATTCGTCCTCCGTCGAGTGCAGCCTGTTCCAGCGTTACTGCCAGAAGTGCCACTCCGTCCATAGCAGCCAAGTAATTCTCTGCCATGAGAAAGTCCATGATCATCATGACCTGATACTGAATCTGTCCCAGCTCCTTCACCCTGCCATAGCCCCCAAAACGTTCCAGGTAGCGCACCCCTGAAACACCTCTCTCCAAAAGCTCCATAGCTGTCGCCGAAGGATTGCTGGTTGGGGCCATCCTCCGGCTCATGCTCTGCAGGACACTCTGGAAAAACAAACCTTTGTGCTGGGCCAACTCCAATTGAAGCCTGGATCTCGTTGCAGCTCCTCTGGTCCCCGCTGTCGATGAAGAGCCGGTGAGCTCCGACAGGGGGTCGTTCTGCGAGCTTGCGATTTGAGCCACAAGCGATGTCAAAGCTTTGCTCTGGGCCAAAACTGCTTGGGCCAATGCACCGTCGGAACTCAGGGAAGACCCTTTCAAGCCCTCCAGCCTCTCTTCTGCAAGCTCCTCGACTTCCAACTGCTTGGCAATTCCAGGGGAAGCCAACAAACCAAGGCTCGCTCTCTCTTGAGTCCTGGAAGGTGGCTGCAAACTCTTGACCAGGTCTGACACAGGAGGTGGTGGGCCAGGCAAGGAGGTACTCAAGGCTGATCCTAAAGCGGCTGCAGACGCTTTTGCTGTGGGAACCACTGCAAGTCGACTCTCGAGCAACGTCTGGCGCTCGGACATCACTGTCAGCTGCTTTGCAATCTGCGGGAGTGCATCCAGGATCCCTCGCATCTCTGTTGCAAGGGTTGCTGTTGTAGGCCTCTTGGGCTTTGCACCACCTCCTAAAGGAGTAGCCTTTGCGGGAGGCTTTCTTCGCCTTGGTGTGGCAGGGGTCTCCTCTGCACCTTCTGCCTCCTCTGGGGTATAAAAGCCAACCCTCATATCCATGGCCTGACTCACCCACGTTTTGATTTTTGGCAGCAAGGCATCCATTGAGGGCAAGGCGTACGGCGAATCCTCGTCGTAATTGTAGACCAGCTCCTCCTGATACGTGAAGGCCCGCATGTGCTTCACAACGTCTATTGAGCAGTCTATCACCATGACATCGACGTCTGTGCCAGTGGGAGAAACAATCTCGTCCTCGATGATGATGGCTGGGACTGTGAAAACCTGAGAGGGTCCAAAAATCCCCTCCAAGTTCCCTTGGTTGCCCTCTGACACCAGTTGCCGAGGCAAAAACGTTTGAGGCAGGACGAGAAGGATGCCGCCCTCTCGCCTCATAGCTACCAAAACTGTGGCTTCGGCCTCTCCATCCTCTTCTTCTCCCAATGGCCATGAAAGCACGTATGTCTCTACGGCCGACTCCGCAAGCACCAAGCTGTCTGCATCGAGGCCACCTTCCATACCGTCCATCACATTCATGCTTTAGACTCGTAGTCCACGATGCCTGCTCCGGCAAAGTAGATCTTGGCTTCCAGCTCTGATGAGAACCCGTGAGTGATGCTGCTTGAAGATGTGAGATCACCAATGATCCCCCAATAGGTCCCTGCGGACCGGCAAATGGTAGGCAATGATACGCCTGTTGCCCTGAGCACAGCGTAAAAACGAGGACGTAGATCCAACTGAGGAGTCCTGTTCGGCGACAAACTGCGCCCGTCTGCAACTGCTTTCGCCCACTGGCCTGCTTTCCAAGCTCGTTTGATACGTTCTTCTCCACTGACTGAAGAACCTGACAGCTTCTTCGCAGAGTCCAAGAAATGGGTCGGGCAACTGTTGAAAGTGGCCTCGATGTCAGCCCTTGTCTCAGCACGTCTGGCAGGAGGACAAAGAGCAGCAGACTGGCTCTGATGAGAAACCAAATCAAAAGAAAGTTCTGATGCCGGAGGGGAAGAAGAACGAGGCTGAGGAGGATCAAGGTCAAGGACCTGTTGCAGCAATGAAGTTGCCTGATCAGAAGGGCCCTGTATAGTAACTCGCAAATCCCCCAGCTTCTACACTCGAGTTCCACACTACCTGCGCCGTTGGAGCTGCTTGGCATCCAGATACCCAGCCAGGGCTGAGTGTCGGTCAACAGGAGGTGAGGGATTGCCAGGGGCAGCAGCAGGGGCAGACAGATTAGAAGGTGGCGGGAGGCAAGTCCAAAGAAACCAACAGCCAGCCGAGGCAAGGATAAGTCCACAGATGAGGCCAAGGAGGAAGGTCAAGGCTAGAGATGCCCAGGATGGCTCAGCACAGTAGACAGGGCACCCCCACCCGTAGAAATTTGTCCTGGCTCCCTGCAAAATCAGGGGGACAGCCTTCAAGACACCTTCGAGCATGAAGCTTGAGAGTGATCATTGTAGTTGCATGCTTGATGTCATACATCTTTGTGTGTGGGGGGGTGCGCTTCTCAAAGAATTTATGTTATGTTTTTTCTCTTGTCTAGTTTGGGTCTAATTTATTGGTGTATTTTATTGGCTGGTGATCCCAAAAATTCACCATGGAATGCGAAAAATATTCCGCTTCTGTTTGTTTTGAATAGGAAAAAACGCATGGATAGACCTTTCTGACCTTCAAGCCTTCAAGCCAATCAGGTTTAGAGCTTAGAGTCCCCAAAAATTCCCGAACCCTGTGGAACTGGGGTAGGATTTGCTACCGCAACGTCGCCGATCAGGAAAGAACGCAGCAGCGCGAATTGACCTGGAAACGTCGTTGCGCTGCCTTGTTGGACGTGAATGCCATTGAACATACATACCAAAAAAAACAAAACAAAACAAAACAAGTGTGCGAATAATACCAGCATGTACATGGACAGTTCTGCATAGACGTATACATACACATTTACAAAAACATTGTATATATGTATTGTTTGTTTGTTTGTTTGTTTGTTTGTTTGTTTGCTTGCTTGCTTGCTTGCTTGCTTGTTTGTTTTTTTTCTGTATGTATGTATGTATGTATGTATGGATGGATGGATGGATGGATGGGTGGATGGGTGTTGGATGTATGGATGTATGGATGTATGGATGTGTGTATGTGTGTATGTAGGATGTATGGACGTGTATGTATGTATGTGTATGTATGTCTGTGTATGTATGTCTGTGTATGTATGTCTGTGTATGTATGTCTGTGTATGTATGTCTGTGTATGTATGTCTGTGTCTGTATGTCTGTGTATGTATGTCTGTGTATGTATGTATGTATGTATGCATGTATGTATGTATGTATGTATGCATGCATGTAGGTGTGCAAATACGTACGTAGGCATGCATGCATGTATGTGTGTCTATCTGTATGTATGTCTGTATGTCTGTATTTCTGTATGTCTGTCTGTCTGCATGTCTGTATGTCTGTATGCATGCATGCATGGATGGATGTATGTATGTATGTATGTATGTGTGTGTATATCACCGCATACATTAATGTATAACGACTACGTATGGGACATGCCCAACTACTGTATACTGATGGTTTGTTAGTTGGCTTTCACCTTGGATGGACATCCACGTAAGGCAAGAACCCAAATTTGAGGATTGCGTGGTTCAGGTTTGACTCGGATTCCTCAATTCTTTACACGGAATTTGCGCAATACATTGATAGTCGCCTTGGTAAAGATTTGAAGTTCATCATCTACAAGCAATGCATGGAAACCAACACGGACTTAAGAGCCCTCCGTTCTGAGTTAAAAAAAAACATGTCCTGCAACTAAGCTGGAAAGTGAACCATGAACGAGATCCTTTTGCAAATTTCTGCCAAAAACGGGCAGCCAGACATAGGGAAGCACGCGTAGGGCCTACTTTTTTTTTGCTAAACACCCACCATTCGCATCATATTTCTGTTGAAACTTGCGACTGCTCATTATCAAACTACCTACTTCCTTTGTTTAATCAGCCCCCAGTTTCTTCAATTTTTTTCATTCCCATGAAATAGTTTCTCATGAGCTGTCATTGCCGCTCAAGTCCGCGGTGTTTGTTGGTTCAAACCCCAAGATTTGCTAAATCTTCGATGGTATCAGGCCCATGCTTCCATGTTTGGATGACGTTTGTTTCTTTTGGTACTGTCAGTAATGTCAATTTGTCGGAGTTTGGATGATGTATTGAGATGATTTGTAAGTTTCTCTCCACTAAACTAACATAGTTATGCGGAAAATTGCCCATTTGGTTCCATGATTTGGGTTTGTCTGCAAATAGGATAACCCAAAACCCAATGGATATTCTCATAATTTTCCGATTTCCCCTCCCCCCCAAAAAAAATGACCCCAACAAAAAAAACAAAAGTGACCATAAACTGGGTATTCCTAGGTATTCCCCACTGTCAGACACCCACTGACCTCTTGAAACATGATGTTTCTGCGCCTTGGGCTCGCCCACTTCCTCGCTTTGTAGCAAGGTTTGGCGCTGGTACCACGCAGCTATGGCTTGGTTCCTGGCCATGGGGGAACATGAAGACTGGAACGGGGATGGTAAGGATAAACTACGATATATTGACGATAATTGAAAAATAACGGTGTTGATATAGATGCACTAATATTACGCGCTGACACCATTGTTTACCCAAGAATTGAAAAGCCACAACATGTACATATATCTTAAGATAACTATCAATACATGTTGGTCCGCACAACATGATCATATATGCTGGGATATTGGTCATACCATGCAGATTCACATATAGCTGCATGGAAATTGTACCATGATTAAATACATATCATACCATGTGGGGTCTCTGTTCTGTTTTAACAACCAGCTAAGTAATCATGCTGATTCAATGTTCATCCATATCTGAAGTTCATGGCAACATTGACACTTCGCCGTGCCGCAGTAAAATACAGTCGCGGCCCAAAGAGAATGAAGGCTTGGCATATCGGAACCGGGCCCGTCAACATGCCAAAACGAACCCGGACATATAAAGCGCCTTCGCAATATAAACCTTTAAACCGCCAACGTCACTTTTGGCACGTCGACGGGTCACTTTTGGCATGTCGACGGGTCACTTTTGGCACGTCGACGGGGTCACTTTTGGCACGTCGACGGGTCACTTTTGGCACGTCGACGGGTCACTTTTGGCATGTCGACGGGCCGTTATTATTTACTATTTACTATTTTCCAGCCCGCAGGCCGTCCAATACTATGAAAAGGATTTCGCCAATTTTTCCCTTTTCGCTTCTACTTTGTGAGGAATTCGAAACTTTCTCTCTCTTTCAATACTAATCTAAAGAGGAATCTTGTTTTGGCATCGCCCAGGTCACTTTTGGCACGTCCACATGTCACTTTTGGCATGTCGACGGGTCGCTTTTGGCACGTCGACGGGTCACTTTTGGCATGTCGACGGGCCGTTACTATTTTACTATTTTTACTATTTACGATTTTCCAGCCCGCAGGCCGTCCAATACTACTTTGAATGAAATTTCGCCAATTTTTCCCTTTTCCCTTCAACTTCCCAAAGGAATTTGAAACTTTCTCTCTCTCTCTCTCTTTCAATACTAATCTAAAGAGGAATCTTGTTTTGGCATCGCCCAGGTCACTTTTGGCACGTCGACGGGTCACTTTGGGATGTCGACGGGCCGTTGCTAGTTTACTATTTACGATTTTCCAGCCCGCAGGCCGTCCAATACTACTTTGAAAAGGATTTCGCCAATTTGTCCCTTTTCCCTTCCACTTTCTGAGGAATTCGAACTTTTCTCCTCTTTCAATACAATCTAAGAGAATCTTGTTTTGGGGGCATCGCCCAGGTCACTTTGGGCACGTCGACGGTCACTTTTGGCACGTCGACGGGTGCACTTTTGGCATGTCACGGGCGTTACTATTTACTATTTTTAAATACTATTTTACGATTTTCTTTTCCCAGCCGCAGGCCGTCCAATACCTACTTTGAAAGATTTCCGCCAATTTGGTCCCTTTTCCCTTCCACTTTCTGAAGGAATCGAAACTTTCCTCCTCTCTTCAATACTAATATCTAAAGGGAAATCTTGTTTTGGCAATCGCCCAGGTCACCTTTTGGCCCGTCGACGGGTCACTTGGGCATGTCAGCGTGCCGTTAACTATTTTAACTATTTTTTAAACCATTTAACATTTTCAGCCCGCAGGCCCGTCCAATACTACTTTGAAAAGGATTTCGCCAATTTGTCCCTTTTCCCTTCCACTTTCTGAGGAATTCGAAACTTTCTCTCTCTTTCAATACTAATCTAAAGAGGAATCTTGTTTTGGCATCGCCCAGGTCACTTTTGGCACGTCGACGGGTCACTTTTGGCATGTCAGCGGGCCGTTACTATTTTACTATTTTTACCATTTACGATTTTCCAGCCCGCAGGCCGTCCAATACTACTTTGAAAAGGATTTTGCCAATGTGTCCCTTTTCCCTTCCACTTTCTGAGGAATTCGAAACTTTCTCTCTCTTTCAATACTAATCTAAAGAGGAATCTTGTTTTGGCATCGCCCAGGTCACTTTTGGCACGTCGACGGGTCACTTTTGGCATGTCAGCGGGCCGTTACTATTTTACTATTTTTACCATTTACGATTTTCCAGCCCGCAGGCCGTCCAATACTACTTTGAAAAGGATTTCGCCAATTTGTCCCTTTTCCCTTCCACTTTCTGAGGAATTCGAAACTTTCTCTCTCTTTCAATACTAATCTAAAGAGGAATCTTGTTTTGGCATCGCCCAGGTCACTTTTGGCACGTCGACGGGTCACTTTTGGCACGTCGACGGGTCACTTTTGGCATGTCAGCGGGCCGTTACTATTTTACTATTTTTACTATTTACGATTTTCCAGCCCGCAGGCCGTCCAATACTACTTTGAAAAGGATTTCGCCAATTTGTCCCTTTTCCCTTCCACTTTCTGAGGAATTCGAAACTTTCTCTCTCTTTCAATACTAATCTAAAGAGGAATCTTGTTTTGGCATCGCCCAGGTCACTTTTGGCACGTCGACGGGTCACTTTTGGCAAGTCAGCGGGCCGTTACTATTTTATTATTTTTACTATTTACGATTTTCCAGCCCGCAGGCCGTCCAATACTACTTTGAAAAGGATTTCGCCAATTTGTCCCTTTTCCCTTCCACTTTCTGAGGAATTCGAAACTTTCTCTCTCTTTCAATACTAATCTAAAGAGGAATCTTGTTTTGGCATCGCCCAGGTCACTTTTGGCACGTCGACGGGTCACTTTTGGCACGTCGACGGGTCACTTTTGGCATGTCAGCGGGCCGTTACTATTTTACTATTTTTACTTTGAAAAGGATTTCGCCAATTTGTCCCTTTTCCCTTCCACTTTCTGAGGAATTCGAAACTTTCTCCCTCTTTCAATACTAATCTAAAGAGGAATCTTGTTTTGGCATCGCCCAGGTCACTTTTGGCACGTCGACGGGTCACTTTTGGCACGTCGACGGGTCACTTTTGGCATGTCAGCGGGCCGTTACTATTTTACTATTTTTACTATTTACGATTTTCCAGCCCGCAGGCCGTCCAATACTACTTTGAAAAGGATTTCGCCAATTTGTCCCTTTTCCCTTCCACTTTCTGAGGAATTCGAAACTTTCTCTCTCTTTCAATACTAATCTAAAGAGGAATCTTGTTTTGGCATCGCCCAGGTCACTTTTGGCACGTCGACGGGTCACTTTTGGCAAGTCAGCGGGCCGTTACTATTTTATTATTTTTACTATTTACGATTTTCCAGCCCGCAGGCCGTCCAATACTACTTTGAAAAGGATTTCGCCAATTTGTCCCTTTTCCCTTCCACTTTCTGAGGAATTCGAAACTTTCTCTCTCTTTCAATACTAATCTAAAGAGGAATCTTGTTTTGGCATCGCCCAGGTCCTTTTGGCCGTCGACGGGTCACTTTGGGCACAGCAGCGGGCCGTTCCTATTTTATTATTTTTATTTCGATTTTCAGGCCCGCAGGCCGTCCAATGTACTACTTTGAAAAGGGATTTCGCCATTTGTCCCTTTCCACTTCCACTTTCTTGAGGAATTCGGAAAACTTTTTTCTCTCTCTTTCAATTTACTAATCTTAAAGAGGAATCTTGTTTTGGCATCGCCCAGGTCACTTTTGGCACGTCGACGGGTCACTTTTGGCACGTCGACGGGTCACTTTTGGCATGTCAGCGGGCCGTTACTATTTTACTATTTTTACTATTTACGATTTTCCAGCCCGCAGGCCGTCCAATACTACTTTGAAAAGGATTTCGCCAATTTGTCCCTTTTCCCTTCCACTTTCTGAGGAATTCGAAACTTTCTCTCTCTTTCAATACTAATCTAAAGAGGAATCTTGTTTTGGCATCGCCCAGGTCACTTTTGGCACGTCGACGGGTCACTTTTGGCACGTCGACGGGTCACTTGTGGCCTGTAGCGGGCCGTTACTATTTTATTATTTTACTATTTACGATTTTCCAGCCCGCAGGCGTCCATACTACTTTGAAAAGGATTTCGCCAATTTGTCCCTTTTCCTTCCACTTCTGAGAATTCGACACTTTCTCTCTCTTTCAATACTAATCTAAGAGGAATCTTGTTTCAGGCACTTTGGCACTCGACGGGTCACTTTGCAGGCGACGGGTCACTTTTGCAAGTCAGCGGGCCGACTATTTTACTATTTTTACTATTTACGATTTCAGCCCGCAGGCCGTCCAATACTACTTTGAAAAGGATTTCGCCAATTTGTCCCTTTTCTTCCACTTTCTGAGGAATTCGAAACTTTCTCTCTCTTTCAATACTAATCTAAAGAGGAATCTTGTTTTGGCATCGCCCAGGTCACTTTTGGCACGTCGACGGGTCACTTTTGGCACGTCGACGGGTCACTTTTGGCATGTCAGCGGGCCGTTACTATTTTACTATTTTTACTTTGAAAAGGATTTCGCCAATTTGTCCCTTTTCCCTTCCACTTTCTGAGGAATTCGAAACTTTCTCCCTCTTTCAATACTAATCTAAAGAGGAATCTTGTTTTGGCATCGCCCAGGTCACTTTTGGCACGTCGACGGGTCACTTTTGGCACGTCGACGGGTCACTTTTGGCATGTCAGCGGGCCGTTACTATTTTACTATTTTTACTATTTACGATTTTCCAGCCCGCAGGCCGTCCAATACTACTTTGAAAAGGATTTCGCCAATTTGTCCCTTTTCCCTTCAACTTCCCAAAGGAATTTGAAACTTTCTCTCTCTCTCTCTCTCTTTCAATACTAATCTAAAGAGGAATCTTGTTTTGGCATCGCCCAGGTCACTTTTGGCACGTCGACGGGTCACTTTTGGCACGTCGACGGGTCACTTTTGGCATGTCAGCGGGCCGTTACTATTTTACTATTTTTACTATTTACGATTTTCCAGCCCGCAGGCCGTCCAATACTACTTTGAAAAGGATTTCGCCAATTTGTCCCTTTTCCCTTCCACTTTCTGAGGAATTCGAAACTTTCTCTCTCTTTCAATACTAATCTAAAGAGGAATCTTGTTTTGGCATCGCCCAGGTCACTTTTGGCACGTCGACGGGTCACTTTTGGCAAGTCAGCGGGCCGTTACTATTTTATTATTTTTACTATTTACGATTTTCCAGCCCGCAGGCCGTCCAATACTACTTTGAAAAGGATTTCGCCAATTTGTCCCTTTTCCCTTCCACTTTCTGAGGAATTCGAAACTTTCTCTCTCTTTCAATACTAATCTAAAGAGGAATCTTGTTTTGGCATCGCCCAGGTCACTTTTGGCACGTCGACGGGTCACTTCTGGCATGTCAGCGGGCCGTTTTGGCATGTCGACGGTTGTTTTGGCATGTCCACGGGACGGATCCCGAAGGCTTGGCAGCTCTGGCTCACGCCAGCAGAGCGGGCCTGCTCACCCGCGCAGCGGTGGGATTCTGCCATGAAGTTCAGTGTATCAGGACGGTAGCCCGGAATACTCACGGAAACGCTAAGAGATGCTACAACAAATTACTTGTACATTATAAGATTACCATCCTCCCCATGACCCCTGAAAGATACATATCATTACTATTTAGGTTTGGGGGGGTTGGGGGGGGCATCCTGATTGTTCCTCATCATTAACTACATGCCAGATTCTTCCCCATGACCTCTGAAAGATATACATATATATATATGTGTGTGTGTGTGTCATTACCATTTAGGTTGGGGGTTTTGGGGGTATCCTGCTTGTTCATCATCATTACATTACGCCGATGATGATCCTTACCGGTCCGGGCAAACGATGGCGTTTGACCGTAATATTAATTGACAATTGTTCATAGTTGATAAATTGATGAAGATTATATAATAGTAGAAATGAAAGACAGCCCCAACTATACTCAATCAACAATAAATTTGCAGCCCCAATATGACCCGTAAAAGGAAAGGACATTCGACGATAAACATGGTGTAGCTGTGGGTATGTGGAAGCCTTAGAGGACTTTGCCGAATCACGGCAAGCAGCACAGTCCTGTTGCGAAACCATAAAGCATCGAAATGGCAAAATCTACTAGCCTCTGGTAATTCAACATATTATAAATATATATATATATGATCTAAAAAAAAAAAACTGATTTTCCAGTTCGCAAATTCGTCAGAGAGGTTACATGTGAATCCTGGACCTTTGCAAAGCCCAGTGTCAGTTCCATTTTCGAAATCTTCCCATCTTGGAGAACATCCGCTGAATCAATCACAAAGTCCTTAGGGTTTTCGGAGTGCTTGCAGTGCTTCCCACTTCGCACTGATCCATGTGAAGTGACTGGAGCTGTGCGATTTGTGTCCAAGTTCATCCGATTTCGATTGATGGGTTTTTTCTCCATGTGGAAACCATCCCCAAGTCATCACCATTCTTACCCTCTGGTAAACTAACATAACTATGGAAAATCACCATTTTTAATGGGAAAACTCACTATAAATGGCCATTTTCAATAGCTATGTTAGTTTACCAGAGGGTATGGGTGGTAATGGTCCGAAAACCCTCCAGATGGTCTGCAAATTCCAAGGGCAACCTACCAGGCCCGTGGAAGGAGTGACACCAAGGTGCCAGATCATCCTCTGTGACGTCCTGGCTGATATCCAAATCTGTAGTCCAACTGGCCTATGCAGCTAACCAATTGGCTTCTATACTCACATGGATATCTAAATCTCCATGTGTCTATATATAGTATTTTACATATACATATACGTATACATATGCATATACATATACGATAATACATATATATATATACATCCACCAAAAAAATGTAGTAAAATGTCGTGTGTCCTTTTTGGCCAAAAACAAAAAGCCATGTGCGAAACGCGCTCCTCGCCGCCGCTGAGATCCGAGAGCATCGCCTGGCGCGCACATCGTGGATTTGTCCTGGTGTTCCACCAGGTTTTCGATCTGTTGACCCCAAAAGAGGTGAATTATGACATTACAATGGATGTTACAATCTGGGTAAATTATAATAATTCACTAACCTGAATTAAGGCCATTTGGGGATGATTTCCCTTACTAACCATGATTTCCAGTGAGGTCGCAGTGAGGTCGTTATAATTTACCCAGTTACAATGGATGTTACAATGGATGTTACAATGGATAATGGAAAGTTTGGAATGATTTCCTGGAAAACTGGGTCTGAAATTTCCGTTGTGACAACCTTAGAGCCTTAGACCCCGAGGTCAATCCGTCGTGACCTGGATGAGCTGGATGGAAGCTAAACAGAGGAATGGCAGCTAAATAGAAATGAATGGCATCTAAGAAACAGAGACGCACGTTGCTTTGCTAAATAGAACTGAATCAACGATCTTGATTTTGCTCGCGGCTGCCCGCGTTGAAAATGCTGGAAATGCATCAAGCTGACAGCTGCGTAAACCCGAAGTCAAAAGAGAAACCTGAGCAGGAGAGGAAATACTGACCAATCCTCCCAGCGTCCAGCGTGTTAAGAAAACACAAAGTCAAAACTTAACATGTTTGATGCTAAACAACGCTGGCATATATTTCTGCAGACTTGGGGTCCTATTCATATGGCATATGCGATTTCCTGATGACAATTCCCACTATCTGAGCACTATTAGTTGGCCGCACTCCCACCATCTCGCAACTACCATTTGGGCCAGCTTGCTCGCAGTGTTCCCAGCTTGGATAAGCAAGTGGTGGCTCACCCGCGGAAGTATGTAGCAATGCGTTCTTGTTGGAAGTGCGGTCCCACTAAGTGTCTAAATATAACTATAATATAGTTACTAAGTTGAAATGTAATTTATAATTATAGTTACAGGGCTATCAGCTATATCCCAACTTATGGGGGTCGATCACCACTAGCTGAAAGTAACCTCAACTGCCAGGCCTGGAGCTGATCTCTCTCCAGGTAACCGGTGCCCTCTGGGTCAAACTTCCTGTTGCTGGTGATGATTTTCCATGGCCATTGGCAAAAAACTGAAGGATTAAACGACCAACCACCAACGCTGCGGGGTGTTACCCTCTGGTAATTTAACGTAGCTATTGAAAATGACCATTTATAGTGGATTTTCCCATTAATCATGGTGATTTTCCATAGCTATGTTAAATTACCAGAGGGTAATCTTGGGATAGTTATGGGATAGTTATAGGATATGGATTGACCTGCAAGGGTGTCATCAAATCTTGGATGCAAAACCATCCCACAAGGACATCAACTGATTGGGGTCCTCATTGGAAGGGACATGGGGAAAACAATGATGTTCCCCAATGGGATGGACTCCCTTAATCTTGAGACAACCCCAGTTGGAGTTGTATGATGTTGTGTGAAAATAGGCTGCCAAAAATCCGTGTGCTTCATCATAACTTTCCCAATTGTTTAGTGTTCGTTTGGGGGTTTCGAATGGCCCATTTTCAGGCACACCCATAAATCTCATTCTATCCCCTTTGTACCCTCATGATTGCTGGTTTATCACCAAGCATCTTGAAGAGGATCACCCCCATGCTCTTTTCGTCTGCAAACCTC